TTAGTAAGACCACATTTGGAATACTGCATCCAGTTTTGGTCACCACGATGTAAAAAAGATGCTGAGACTCTAGAAAGAGTACAGAGAAGAGCAACAAAGATGATTAGGGGACTGGAGGCTAAAACATATAAGGAACGGTTGCTGGAATTGGGTATGTGTAGTTTAATGAAGAGAAGGACGAGGGGGGACATGATAGCAGCCTTCCAATATCTCAGGGGCTGCCACAAAGAAGAGGGAGTCAAGCCATTCTCCAAAGCGCCTGAAGGCAGGACAAGAAGCAAAGGATGGAAACTGATCAAGGAGAGAAGCAACTTAGAACTAAAGAGAAACTTCCTGACAATTAGAACAATTAACCAATGGAACAACTTGCCTCCAGAAGTGGTGAATGCTCCAACACTGGAAGCTTTTAAGAAGAGACTGGACAGCCATTTGTCTGAAATGGTTTAGGGTTTCCTGCCTGAGCAGGGGGTTGGACTAGATGACCTCCAAGGTCCCTTCCAACTTTATTATTATTATTATTATTATTATTATTATTATTATTATTATTATTATTATTATTATTATTATTATTATTATTATTATCTCATGTAATCTATAGAGGGGGGGTGCTCAGTCCTGGGATTGCATGGTCCCTAGAAGTCCTCCTTATCTTAGGACATCTGAAGGCTCCTTCAAGATAAAGTTTGAAGTGCCCCATAACTAGCAAAACAGGTTTCCTTGGATCCTGTGAGAAAGATGATAGGAAAATATTTACCCTCTGCAATAACTGATCAACAGAAACAGTCTGCAGGTCGCTGAAGGAAAGATATGATCCAGGGACAGCCAAGTAGGGCAGACGTAAGTGGAGATCAGCAGCTAATAATAAAAACCCATTTCCCAAGCTGGTTTATATAATCTGATAATTTTCCTCTCCTCTCCACTACCACGCCTGAAAGCCAATTTGCAAAACAGGTGAGTTCCTTCTCCTCCTCCTTCTTCTCCTTCTTCTCCTCCTTCTTCTCCTTCTCCTCCTCCTCCTCTTCCTTTTTCTCAGGGAGGGAGATACAGAGGGTTGGACTAGAACAGGGCTTTTCAACCAGTGGTACGGGTACCACCTGTGGTACATTGGCACATGGCAGGTGGTACACGACCATCCTAGAAAAGTGGTAGCGGGGGAGGGGAATGAGCTGAACTGGTGGTAGCACCGCACAAGCCTGACTGAGAGATGGCTGGAGCTGCAGGGCTGTCAGGGCTCAGTGGAAGCGACAGGATCAGTGCCAGGCTCCAGCTGGAGCTCACCGCTGATCCTGGTGCTTCTGCTGAGTCCAGAAGAAGCGCCAATCAGCTGGAATGTTGCAGCATCTCCAGGGTTTTTTGATTTACATTCAGATGCTTGGCAACTGATTCATATTTATGATGGTCACAGTGTCCCAGGGTCATGTGAAGTGACCAAAACCTGCTGCAACCACCCAGCAGACGGGGGGAATAAGAACCAAACACCCCCCCACCCCACCCCCGCTGCCAATCCTCAACAGAAATCCTCACAACAATGAAAACCTCGGACAGGAGGAAGAGCGCGGCCGGGCGGGCAGGCAGGTGTCTTGCTCGGCTGTGGCTTGGGGGACACTTTTTTCAGTGCCGTTGTAACTTCGAACAGTCACTAAGCGAACTGTTGTAAGTCGAGGACTACCTGTACTTTATCAAGTTTTTGACCCCTTGCTAGGCGACTGGTGGTACTCGGATGTTGCCATATCCTAAAAGTGGTACAGTGGGTGAAAAGGTTGAAAAGCCCTGGATTAGAAGACCTCCAAGTTCCCTTCCAGCTCTATTCTGATTAACTGAAACAATAAAGCCAGATAGGTGCATCGGAAACAGCCTCTTCAGTCCTCACCAGGACAGGTCAGACAAGCCATCACACACAAAAAGCCATCACATGCTCCACTTCCTGACATCAAAAATGCTGACAGTATGACCTGGTTTGATAATTAAATGTTTGCAAGAAAAAAAAAAGCAAAGTT